GGTCGGTGTTGATGATGATGATGATGATGATGATCCGCCATTGTTGATGCGGAAGCTTTTGTGATTTTTCCGATGAGTCGCCGGAAGAAACTTTCGTCAAGACATGATTTTTGTGATTTTGTGGGTTGTTTACTTGACCCAATATTTTAACGAATTCCAAATTGTTGGTTAAACCGAATTAAACCGGAACAGAGTAATATTCTTAATGGGGTGTTATTCGTCAGTGGATATTAATAGAGTCTAACTCTAAGAGCGAGCATGAGCAATTGAATAAGTGTAAGGATATGTCTTAAAAGTGATTAATTATTAAAATAGTGTAAGACAAAAGTACTGACTTTAAATGAGTATATGTAAAATAAAAAGGTGAAACGTAATAAACAAATTATCTGCGTTGTGGGAACACAGAGTTAACACTCGGATGTACATAAAAGTGGACTATTCTGATTATTTTGGATTTTTAAATTCTAACACCCAACCAAAAGATGTACCGATGTGTATGGCGGAAAAACGGCTTTTTCACCCCTAAACTATCTCTCTTTGGCTTATTGATCCCCTGAACTTTGTATTGTGCCAAAAACCTCATGAACTATTCTATATTTTGAATTACACAACAAAACAAATCAGGAATAATTACACAAATCGCTAAACACTGTTAGTCTTCTGTTAATGACAAGCTGACTAGGATGCCACATCATCAAGCAAAAACGACGTCGTTTAATACATCTTGCCCAACAAAAAAAATGACGTTTTTTTACAAATTGAATTGTAGATTATCAAAATTTGATCAGACCTGTTCAAGCAAAAAATATAATCTCTAACAAAACATCATATTGATTCCAAAATGCATAATCAAATAGAATCCAAAATTACATCATAATCTGAGTTTTACATCCAAAAATAAATCAAAATCCCAGATTTCATAAACTAAAACACCATTAATCCTTCATTCCCTGCAACAACAAGGAATATAAATTCAGACCTTAAACATATGAAATGAATACACAAACAGAGCATAAAATTAATACACAAACCTGACATGTTAGTCAATGACTTGGCTTTGAGTTGGTTGACTTGGTCCTTCACATCCATCTTCCGTGGTCTTCCCTTTGCCTTTCTTTGGAGGTATAACTCCAACATTTTTGCAGCTCCTTGTGAGATTGGAAAAGAAAAGACAAGAGGCACACAAGCAAAGACGAGAGGCACACAAGCAAAACCAAACTTTCAAACGAAGCCATTCAAAATCCAAATCGAAAATGCACTCGACTAACCCAGAATTCGAGCGCTTACCTCATTGAGCTCTGCAATCACTCCCCTCGCTCTCTCAAATCCGACACTTGATGTCGAACCCTAAACTAAAAAAAATCTCCAACCCTTATTCCTCTTTTCGATCGACTTTTGATTCACTCTTTGTCCCTCTCAAACCCAAAGCAAAGTATCTCCAATTGAAATTCGATGAACCCTAAACTAATAATATCCCCAAATCGATTTGCAAGGAAGACAAAGAAATGTTGGTGATGTCGTGTTATTTTGGTGTGTAAAACTTTGGATTAAAACGCGGTCGTTTAGAAAAATGACGTGGCATCCTCACATGTCATTTTGATTAAACACCGTCGTTTAAAAAAATGACGTGGCATCCTAGTCAACTCTGACGTAACGGAACAGTAACGGTGTAACACGATTTGTGGATTTAGTCCATAAATGTTTTGTTCATGGAGATAATTCAAACTTTAGCTTAGTTTATGTGGGTTTCGGCACAACACAAACTTAAAGGGATGAATACGCCAAAGTAAGTTAGTTTAGGGAGGAATAAGCAGTTTTCCTAACTCAAATCTAATGTTATTGGTTCTCAGATTGTAAATAGAAATTTCAAATCAAGTGTTATTGGTTCTCAGATTTCTAATATCTATATTAAAAGAGTTTAAAATCAAGTGTTTTTGGTTATCATATTTCTAATATCTATATTAAAAGACTTTGAAATCTAGTGTTATTGGTTATCATATTTACAATGATCAATTAAAGTTTCATGTTATTGGTTGTTTGACAGATTTTCACAAAATACAAATATTTTGATTTGAAAAGATATGAAGGAATCTGAAACTAATTTCATGTGTAAATTATATCAATCAAAATCCTACCTTCTACTCAAGATTTTCACTATCATATTTTTATAATTATAAAAATTCTTTTTTTTTTCCTTTCACGTCTTCTCTCCTTCTTCTCTCCTTCTGCTCGACAAAGTGTTCCCCAAAGTACTCTTTCAACTTCTTCTTTTTTTTGCTTCTTCTCTCTCGTGAATTGCGTATATATTCAAATAATCAAAAATCTCATTTATATGCATCATATACAATTGTAACTTGTGGTAGATTGACTTACGTGAAACAAACATTTTTTCTTTCACGTCTACGTCTTGTTTGGACTTTCTTCTCTCCTTCTTATTTCTTTTTCCCTTTCACGGTAAAGTCTATTTTTCTTCATCATTGTAGTCATGGCTAGTTACTTTGATTGAGAACAAAGTAAATCATTTGATTAAAAGTTTTGTTGGACTTCGATTAGATTATAAAAATCATTTGTTATTGACTTCAGTTCTGTTATAGAAAACCAAATGAGATCACACATCATTGAATAAACTTCCATGTATTTGACAAAATGAATAATGGTTCACTTTCAGTGAACCCAAAACATTTGAAATCTGATAGACTTTAACTCTAATGGAGTTAACTTTAACTTCACTAACCAATAACACCACCTAAATCAAAAGTCAATTTTGGAATGCGATTACTAAAAATGGGCCTAAAATTCATTTTTGATTTTGGGCCTAGTCTCGGAATTTCATAGAATTTTCTCGGATTTAAGAAAGGAAAAGAAGGAAATTTATATCCATGCATGTAAGAAAGTTTAAATTTAAAAACATTGTAATTATTATTATTATTATTATTTTAACTATAAAATTTAAAAACATATTGTAATTATATTGTAATCGTTACAGATTTTTCATAATGAAGAAACACGGAACCAAACCTTAGTTATGTTAGGGAAATAAGATAAGTATTGGGATCCATTTGGAGACCAGTTTGAAATGAATAAACTTTTGATAGTAACAACTGTTTTTGACCCAAGGAAGAACATGAAGTTTGCTCAGCTCTGTATTGAGACGCTTAATGGTAAAAATAGTGTCGATCCTACACATCTTTGTGATTCAGTCTTCTATATGTTAGAGAAGACAGTTTGTTACAAAGATGAAGAAGAAATCGTTATTCTCATTAATCTCTCTGTATCGTTTACATGATTGACTTATAGTGTCAAACAGAACATCCGGTTTACTCCGGTTTATAATAACAGAAAAATCAATCTGACTAAACCATATTAAACCATACTCTAATAGCCTCCCTCAAGATGGCAAGTAAATGGATTTTAGTGCCATCTTGCTTATAAGAGAACGAAAATGAGCTGGAAATAAAGGTTTAGTAAACACATCTGCAAGCTGTTCATCAGTCTTCACATGGAGAGTTTTGATCAGACCACTTACCACTTTATCCCTCACAATGTGGCAGTCTAACTCAACATGTTTGGTACGTTCGTGGAAAACTGCATTGTTAGCTATGTGAATAGCAGCAGTTGAATCACAGAAAAAGGGAACAGACCTCTCCTGAGGTGCACCAAACTCACGGAGAAGATTGACAAGCCAAGCAACTTCTCTGACTGCAAACTCCATGGCTCTGTATTCGGATTCTGCAGAGGAATGTGATGCAGTCTGTTGCTTTTTGGATTTCCAAGATATGAGGGACTTGCCTAGAAACATACAGAAACCTGAAGTTGATCTCCGAGAATCTGGACAAGAAGCCCAATCTGCATCCGTGAAAGCTTGTAACACCAAATCACAATCAGCAGAGTAGAATAAACCATCACCAATTGTACCTTTGACATAATGAAGTACTTTGTGAGCAGCTTTCATATGAGACTCTTTAGGAGCTGAAGTAAACTGACACAATTTGTTGACTGCATAGGTAATGTCTGGCCTGGTGATAGTTAGATACATCATCTTTCCTACTAATCTTCTGTAGGATGCAGGATCAGCCATAGGCGGTTCATCTCCATCTGAGACCAATTTAATACTAGGCTCCATCGGTATACTTGATGGTTTGCAGGCAAGAAGACCTGTTTCTTCAAGTAATCCTAAAGCATATTTGCGTTGGCAAACAAAAATACCTGAAGAATTACGAGCAATCTCCAAGCCAAGAAAGTACTGCAATGAGCCTAGATCCCTGAGCTTAAAAGCCTTTTGCAAATCTTCTTTTAGCTGAACAACCTCAGCATCATCATTACTTGTAATAATGATATCATCTACATACACAAGAACTGCAACATACTTCCCATTCACATTTCTCACAAAGAGAGTATGATCAACATGTGATTTCTGAAAACCAAGAGACATTAATGTGGCACTAAATTTTAGAAACCACTGTCTAGAGGCCTGCTTCAAACCATAGAGAGACTTTTGTAGTTTGCAGACTGCATTAGGTGGTAGAACTTCTCCTTCTTTTGTTGTATAGCCTGGTGGTAAAGTCATATATATCTCTTCTTCTAAATCACCATTCAAGAAGGCATTGGATATATCAAGTTGATGAAGACTCCACTTTTTAGCAGCTGCAACAGCTAAAAGAGTTTTCACAGTGGTCATCTTAGCTACAGGGGAGAAGGTATCAACAAAGTCAATTCCCTCTTGTTGTGTGTACCCCTTAGCCACCAATCGAGCCTTATAACGTTCTAAACTGCCATCAGCATTTAATTTCACCTTATATACCCATTTGCAACCTATAGCATGCTTATTCGAAGGTAAGGAACAAATCTTCCATGTCGCTGTACCCTCTAAAGCTTGTAACTCTGCATTCATAGCTTTAAGCCAGTCATCAGATCTTTTAGCCTGTGCAAAGGAAGTTGGTTCTGCATGCTTAGTGACATAACAAATATAAGCTCTGTAAGGTGTTGAAAGACCATCATAACTCATAAAATCTGATAAAGGATATTGAATACCCGAAGAAGACATATTGCAATAATAGTCTCGTAGATACTCTGGTGTTTTACTAACTCTCCGATTAGCTTCTTTTTGAGGAGCAGTACCCGCAGAAGGAACACTATTGGGAACATCATTCACCACTGTAGGAGATTCACTCACAACTACAGGAACAATATTAACAGGGACCACAATAGGATCCTCTGCAGGTACATCAATGCTTTTGAAGAAATCAGGTAGAGTAAAAGAATCACCTTTGTTAAAGGGAAAAATATCCTCATGAAAGACCACATTCCTAGAAACATGAATACTGTTTGTCTCCAAATCCAAAAGCTTGTATCCTTTAACTCCTGGTGGATAACCAAGAAAAATACATGGTTTGGCTCTTGGCTGGAACTTGTTTCTGTTTTTGGAAGATGTTGAACTGTAACTCAAACATCCAAAAACTCTAAAACCACTATAATCAGGTACCTTGGAAGTTAGAACTTCAATAGGTGACTTATCTTTGAGCAGAGGTGTCGGTAGTCGATTAATAAGGAAGACTGCCGTTAAAACACACTCTCCCCAGTATTCAATAGGAACATGAGACTGAAACATAAGGGATCGAGCAACATTTAAAATGTGCTGATGCTTCCTTTCGACAACAGAGTTCTGCTCTGGTGTTTCTGGACAAGAGAAGTAGTGAATGATACCCTTTGCCTTGAATAACTCCACAAACTTCAATTCTGGTGCATTGTCTGATCTTACACCTTTCACTGCAGTTTTATACTGTGTCTCAACCATCTTCAGAAAATCTGGAAAGATTGTTAGCACTTCACTTTTGTTTCTCAATAGATATAACCAAGTGATCCTAGTATGATCATCCACAATGGTTAAAAAATATCGATATCCATCATGTGTTGGCACTGCAAAAGGACCCCAGACATCAATGTGAACCAAGTCAAATGCAGAATCACAAACATTGTTCTTAGATTTAAACGGAAGATGCTTTTGTTTTGCAAGAGGACAAATGTTGCAATGAAAAGATCTTTTATTCCTTTGTTTAAAACCAAGTACATCTGTAATAATATCAGATTTTTCCATAGAAGGATGACCTAATCTGCTATGCCAGAGACTAGAATCAACAACAATGTTTGTAGAAAAAGTAATTTGATCTGCAGTATTGACAACACTCTGAACATCCAGAACATAGAGATTGGAAATTTGCTCTCCTCTACCAATCATCAGCCCCTTGATAGGATCATGTATAATGCATGAAGCCTCATCAAATGTCACTCTATATCCAAGATCTTTAGTCAACTGGCTGATACTCAGAAGATTCAGCCTAAAGTCAGGAATGTAAAGCACATTATTCAATATCAGAAACTCATTCAATTTTATTGTTCCAATACCAGTGATCTTAACACCAAAACCAGTTGGTAGAGTCACTGAATTATTCAAAGTTTCAGATAAACTCAGAAATAGAGCTTTATCATGACAGACATGATGTGTTGCTCCACTATCAATAATCCACGATTCAGGAGACAAAACATTACCTGTTGCTCTCAAAACTCCAACAAAACCAATAGTAGAAGAAGAGAAAGATATACCAGGTAAAGCTGTGATCAGAGCACCAGAAGAGGATGCAGGAGCAGGCGGTGCATTCTGAAGTTGTGAATTGAAGTAGGCAACAACACCATTGATCTGATCTTTGGTAAGAACTCTTGTAAGTCCAGTAAGTAAATCATTTGTAGCAGTCTCTGTCATTGCCAATTGAGCCACTACAGGTTTAACAGGAGCTGTGTGGTTGACAGTGAGAGTTTTATCTGCTTGATTCTTGTTTTTGTGCTTGAACCCCATCGGATACCCATGTATTTTATAGCATTTATCAACTGTGTGTCCTGTATATCCACAATGAGAACAAATAACCTTTTGTGGTTTAACATATGTTGCATTGACGGAAGGTTGAACTGATTCAGGAGCAGAGACATGAAAAGCCACTGCATTAGAAGGAGTAGGTGTGAAACTTCTTTGACTGTGATCCTGATCCAACAAATTGTAAATTTCTGCTAAGGAAGGAACATGCTTCTTCATTATGATTTGGCTTCTAATGACGGCATAAGATTCATTCAAGCCAGCCAAAAACTTAATAACACGAGCATGATCTCCTCTTTTATCCATAGCTTTACAACAGTCACATCTTTTGCATAACTTCACACAATCAGAAGCATCCAATTCATTCCATAGAGTTCTCAAAGTAGTATAATAAGTTGCAAGATCCATAGTACCCTGTTGAAGTGACCAAATCTGTTGAGACAACTGATAAGATCGCGGGAGATTAGTAATGTGATAACGAGTCAATAGATCATTCCATATCTCTGAGGCATCGTTGAAACGAAGAATACTCTTGTAAATTTGCTTCGACACTGAGTTCAATAACCAAGATTTCACCATGCTGTTACAACGAGACCAAATCCTGAACATAGAATCCGATTCAAGAGGTCTTGGAACAGATCCATCAATGAAAACTAGCTTGTTTTTCGCGTCTAAAGCTATCTTAATCGCAATTTGCCAATCATCATAATTCGTACCATCAAACACTTCAGAGACTATAGAAATACCAGGATTGTCGCTATTGCTTAAGTGATACGGAGAATGTATGCTATCATGCGATACAGTCACCGGAGTAGGATTGTGATTCCGATTAACAGGAGAACCTTCGGAAGAAGAAGAACCATCGTGATTAACCGATCTGCGAGCTGAAACAGGAACGCGGACCGTGCGACGAGTGATTTTGCGAGCTGGTGCCATCGGGAAAACAAGATTTCACGACGGAGATGAAAAACAAAGTGATCGATACAACAATTCTGGCGAACAAAACGCAGAAATTGATCGAAATCAATGAGAAAAGAAGAAGTCTAGGTCAAGATCGGATGGATTTTGAAGATCCATCGCTCTGATACCATGTTAGAGAAGACAGTTTGTTACAAAGATGAAGAAGAAATCGTTATTCTCATTAATCTCTCTGTATCGTTTACATGATTGACTTATAGTGTCAAACAGAACATCCGGTTTACTCCGGTTTATAATAACAGAAAAATCAATCTGACTAAACCATATTAAACCATACTCTAATACTATATTTTGACGAATTTGTTTGATGAGTATGGGTCGTGAACAAAATTGGTAGTGGTGAGTCGATGACATCTTTTCAATCCCAATTCGATATCATATTAATGAAAAAACTCTATATTAACGTATAAATATCTTTATGAATATTTAAAGAAATATCTTTTTCACTTATGTATAAATTTTATTTTCTGATAAGGATATAACCATTTATATTTTTTAAAAATATTAACAAATTTAAATTTGGCATATGACAACATCTAATATTTTAATTGACACGTGTTACAATCATTTGAGTTAGTAAATTTGAGAAAGCAAACTTTATAAAACAAGATAGCTTTTTAGATATTTGTATAAGTTTCATGAACGTAGTGGTTGACGAACATAACAAATGTCAAATATGCTGTAAAAAAAAAAAAAACAAATGTCAAATAATTTATTTTATTAATTAAAACATATCTTATTTATTTGATTAAACGAGGGGGTGTATAAAAATTAGCATATACAACGACATATAGGAAAAGTTGGATCAGGAGCATAACATATCAAATGACATCCTTTTTTGCACCCAAGACCCCATCGGTTCTCATCACGATGCAACGCAATCTGTGGAATTTCTTCCGATAATACACGCCTTGCTTCAACATTTTGTATAGTTATGATACACATCACTACAAAACCAAATTAACTTGTTGTTATAAACATAAAATTTGCATGTAGAGATTTTTAATTTTATTCACGCATGAAATAAAATTTTACCGAATGTAACAACAAAGAAGGCAACGAAAGCAAACTTCATTGATATTTTCTCCATTTTTTGTATTTTGTTGAGTATATTAAGTGAAAAATATTTTGAATATTGGTGTATGTTGTTGGTTTAGCTATTGTGAAACTGGTTTTATAGAACGGAGAAATGGTATTATTTTAGTAAGAACGATTTTCTAAATTAAGTAACCTGAAAAATAATAGGAAATAACCAAAAAACCACAAAGATATAATAATCCCTTTTTCTCAAAATATCTTGGTCAAAAACTTCACTAACAATCTTGCTAAAATACATTTTAGTGTCCTTAAATAATTTAATCAAAATGATTATCTTAGTAAGAAAATCCACCAAGATTTTCTACCAAAAAAAAACATCCACCAAGATTTGCAAATATACATTTTTTTCTAAAAGTATAATGGATCCAATAAATATTACTTTTTTTTTTTAAATATCCTGGTCAAATAATATATTTTTTTTCAAAATATCTTGGTCGAATAATAACAATCCACCAAGATTTGATAAAATACTTTTAGGAATTATTTTTTTCCCTCTCACATATTATCATTTTTTTATCAACAACTTTATTAGAATAGTTTATACAAACCAATGTTGAGAGATAATTTTTACATATGTGATAATATGCGTTTGAGCACGAACATTTAGTGCTAAATTATCCGTTTTTACATTCACACGTCGAGAAATCAAGGATAAAAAGAAAAAAAAATCAAACTCATCCTATTTTCTCTGAATCGTTTCTAGGTAAGAAAAGAATGATGGCCACTCCGCGGAGAAGACACCATCTTCTCCAAGTCTGAGTAGTCTGTAAAGAAACTTACTTCTCGCTTCTCTTGACCAATCATACGTCTCATAACCCAAACTAGTGCTTCTACTTTTGGGTGTAGACTTGTGAGATTTCGTCGAAGGTTGGCATCACCCATCGTTAGCTCGTCATCATCTGATAGTATATGGTCCAAGTCTGAGCAGTCTGTAAAGAAACTTACTTCTCGCTTCTCTTGACCAATCATACATCTCATAACCCAAACTAGTGCTTCTACTTTTGGGTGTAGACTTGTGAGATTTCGTCGAAGGTTGGCAGCACCCATCGTTAGCTCGTCATCATCTGATAGTATACAGAACCATCCTAAACCCGAGAAGTTGGCACTCTCTTTCCAAGAGTCATCAATGAAACATCGATACCTTGTAGAATTTATAACCTTTGACCCAGCTATCTTAGAGGACGGCAAATCATTAACCACATCCATTTGGGTTAAAATTCAAGCATTTGTAAAATTTATTCATAAAAAAAACTGTTACATCAAGGGTCCGATAGCTAACATTAACCCATTAACAACTTACATGATTTTTTTCTTATTGAGAGATAAATCCGATTAGGCGGGAAAAAAGATTGTTTGGTTTACTCTTGAGAGTTAGGAACCACAAAAACCCCAGCTTTGGGCTTCTGGTTTTGCAAATGTTCGAATATAAACAAAAGACTAGACCGATATTATACATAAGTTTCACTAATTCGCAGTTCTACAAAAGTATCATAAGTTCATTATCCATACGAGAGCAGAAAGCTTGCAAAGTACATAGATTTTGTCTCTTGCCAGATTATCAATCACCACCAACTTGACGTTTCCACGAGTCTTCCACGATCAGTTCATCGACTCCCCATTCTTCGAAACTGATTCAAAATCATACGCAAGTCAAGAAAAGAACATATCAAAATGAAAGAAGAGCTTAAAAACAGTTAATATAACTAATACAATCTCACCTCCCATCAGGTAAATATCGTCTAATGGTAAATGGAATCTTCCTTTGCCTAAGCTCTTTCATCGCAATCTTAAGCCAAGTCATAAATTAAATCAGCTCAAATGTTCATATACATATATCTAAGTTTACTGACAAATCAAACAAGTCGAAAAAAACAAGAAGAAAAAGGCAACACACCTCAAGTGGATCAGTCTCACCCTCCAGCTCAACCATGACAGGAGCATTCATGCTGTATCAGCCAAAAACATTACATAGAATCAAACTTTCCGAGCCAACTTAACGGTTAATGAACAAGGGGATAGAAACAGACCTAATCTGCAAAGCGCGAGTGCCGAGGATACGTGCACGTTCATACTTGGTCATAAACTTGGACGTTTTACGTGGACGTTGCACAGGTTCTGTTTCAACCTTATCTTCTGTTTCCATAGGCTCACCATTAACATCATCGTTCTCCTTGATATCAGCATCTTCCTCTACTCCTTCCTACTCACACCAAATTCTAATCAATAACAGAACGTAGTAATGAGCAACATCAATGCATCTTCTACAAAAACTGAAATTGTAGCTTACTTCGATCTCAGGCTCAACTGGCTCATCCTCATATCTGCAATAGAATCACCACATAACATCAACAATTTGAATCACCAATGAAAAAGATTCAAACAAAGTCCCAAAAAATAGCTATTTCTCAAATCTCAATCAACCGAGCATGAAATTAGGGTTTTCTAGCTAAAAAATCGATTAGAATCAATACTACGATGCCAAAACAAACAATTTATGTCAATTGAAGAAAAATTTCAGCGAAGAATCTTGTTGATAGACTCTCAATTTAGAAAAAATCGATCCAATTCCTCTCAATCGTTTACGATTCATCGAGAAGAAGACATAATCCATTGAAATCGATCACAAAATGATGCAAACATAGGAAGGTGAGAGAGAGAAGTAGAGAATATACCCCAAGTCATCGACTTCGTTGTAATCTTCGTCAGCCATTAAAGTCGATTTGAGAAATCGCTCTCGTCTGCTCTCGATAAACCCTAACGATCGATGCAAATTACCGAATGACGTGAATCTGTGAAATTGACAACTGATAATGAAATTTCTATTTCCGGTTTACTTATTCGGCTTAATAAACCGTATTTCGGACCATTTAAATTCAAGCCCAATTTAAAGCCCACAATTTTTTTTATTTTTTTTTATGAAAAAGTTAAAAACAGAGTCCCAAACAAACGTTTACACAACTCTGCCTAGCTTATACGAAAGAAGAAGCTTATTGAGTGATGAAAACATCCAAATACTCACCACTTTGGATGTTTTAACAGTGCCGGTTTCGTAGCAGCGATCTTCCTCGTGATGTTCATGGTAAAGGACGACGCATTAAAAGACTAATGTTTTTTTTCCCCATTGTTTCCATGTATGTACGCAGGTTATAAGATATCATGTCATGTCTAGCCCCGACTCACATAGGTAGGACGGAAGTGCAACGGCCCGGAGCTTCTTTTTTCGTTCTTATTAGTTTCTGCATCGCTGTTATGTGTCTAAACAAAGGGATACAGTATCTGCGGCTGCGAACTGGACCACCAACTTGTGGCTTACCTTGGATGGGTTCACAAAACTGCATCAGGTAGCAAAGGCGGTGCAAAAGTGAGTCTGTCTCTTCGAAGCTCAATGTCTTCTCATCCAAATCAAGATCCAAAATCCAAATGTAATAAACTTACTGCATTTTTTATTTGTGTCATCAAAGTATTGTGTATATTTTTCACTTGTTTAAAGACTTAAAAGTTTACACCAGGACTTGAGTGCATAATTGCTTATGATTCCATATTCACATGTATGAGAAATTAGAAAAACAAGTTTGCATAGTTGATTATGCTATTATCCACACTATTCCACGATCTAGTAGACTCTGCCAAAGACAAACAAGCTTGTAAAACAAATAAACTGGGAATACATAACATACCTCTTCACCGTAAAGGCATCATCGATCATAAGTCTGCTGCCTCTTTACCGTATAATATTACTTGTGCAACTTCTCAGCAATGACCTCCTTAAAAAATGTAATGAGGCCTTGAAAAACAACCTTCCCCCTAAGGGTACTGCTCCAAATCCATCACAAGATTAGGTTCTGCAACTTCTCAGCGATGACCTCCTTAGTTTTTTTCTGAGCTTTAAAAGCTTCCAAACCCGTTTTAATTTCTGCATCTTTTTCTTGCCTCTGCATAATTTCACCATAGTTCGGTCAGGTGATTTCATTCACCAAACTCGAAAAGCCAAAACCGAGCTCTCTACTGAGCAAACACCATATCTCATATAAAAATTTATAGAACAACCCCCGACTTACCGAACGCCCACCAAAATACAAGAATGGCTCGATAATACCTTCAAATACAATTTAAGAAGCGGAACTTCTTTGATTCCTTGTTATCTTTGAACTTTTAAAACTCTTTCTTCTAAAATCTTTTTAGTATATAAAAACAAAGTACAATGAGAGTTTACAAATCTTCCATAGTTCTACTAACTCAAAATCTAATCCTGTGAACTCAATTCATGTAAGACACAATTCTGTAATTCTTTTTCTGTTTCAATTAAAAAGAAAAAAATCCGAACGATAATCATGGTGATAAATCACAAGATTATATCATCTTGAACACTAACATTAAGAGTCTTATTCTGGAGAACAATGCTTCCAATGACTGCAACTTCATCTTCTACAGTTACAGCCTCACCTGCAGAAACAAATTAATCAGAAAAAAATAACGAATAATTTGTTGAACAAAAAGCTTTAAGAAAAACAATGAAGTTACCAAGAATGGTAATCCCAAGCCTCTCATTGTAATCTCCACTAGCTTGAACTCTTGACCATCTACCTATAGAAGATTTCCATCCAATAATTGAGTTTATAACAACAGCATTGTCCTGCATTTAACCAGAGTAGAACATTAAACAACAAATCTTTTGGATTCATTACAAGAAGAACATTCTAAACACCGATTCAAATTACCTTGATTTCAACATCGTCTAAGATTATGCAGCTAATAAGCCTTACACCAGGTCCAACACGAACGTTTGCTGAGATCGACACATTTGGACCAATCTTGTTCCGAGGAATTTAAGTGGGTCATTTGCAAATTATATGAGAAGTTTAACTAGAATTCATGAGATAGAACAAAGAAATTTACCTTCGCGGTTGGATGCAGTTTTACGGATGGGTGAATATAAACATCACCAATTATATTCGGTTTCCTATTAGTACCATCTCCTGAAGCTAAAATATGAGGCGATGTTTGGCGGAATTGGGAAAGATATAAAGCCGAGCATTTCAAAGATTTCCTGTTTAAAGCAATTTCTTAGCACGAGTAATCCAAGAACGTCTGAAACAATTATTACCACCAACTTACCCCGGAGTCTTAATTTGTTCCCAGAAATCCTTATTCTCATATGTGTATAGTTGCTTCTTTCCAGCAAGAGGTGACAATATATCTTGATCTAATCTCACAAAATCCGCAGGAACAGACCTTGTAGCAGATTGGTAGTTGCTAGCTGCCAATTTAAAGTGATTACACAATGAATAATTTAAGAAAAGACCAAAAGAATTATGTAAATGAAGAAGCAGATCTCTAATGGATAATAATGTAAGTCTCTGAGAGAGGCTTATAATGAATACTCACATGTGTCTCTTATTTGGCTATATACTTCTTCAATGGCATTGAAGATATCAGAGGTAAACACATAGACACCACAGTTTATCAAGTCACTGACCTGCATTGAGTAGATAACAAGGAAATTTTATAAGCTAATCAAATTTCAGAGCCAGTGAAAGAAATAAGAAAGCACGATAGTTTAGCAGATAATTACGAAAGTCTCGGGCTTCTCTGTATAATGCAGGAGTTCTTTAGTATCAGGATCAGCTATCAATTCTCCAAATTGGCTGGCTGCTTCTGCAGAAACCTGAAGTGAAAAAGCGATATTCATGAATCCTTGATCTTTATGTTTATTCCCTTAGTGACATCTAAAATAACCGATCAGGACAGCAAACCTTGATTACTAGCATAGTTCCAATACCACCATATCTTCGATGTGCGTCTACGAAAAGTAGTGAAGTTACATCAAAGTAAGAAAATGAAAACGGTGATGCAGATTTAAGATTTTAAAGCGAGTTACCAAGTATGCCTTGAAGAGGGAAAGAACAGCAAACATCACAGTTCAGGAGGAAAACATTTGACTGTTCAATATGACAGAAAAAAAAGTTAGCAGATGAATCAGGAAAACAAATGACTGATAAAGCATAAAACTAAAGTTGGGCTTTTCATCAGAAATCAAACCGGTTTTTCTTCCATAATTCTATCACGAAAGTAATAAAGAGCACCAGCCGAACCATGTGGTTTATCTTCTTTCAAGTATCTACATAACGAGAACACACATAAGAAGGTTTCACATTGGAAACCAAAAACAAAAAACACAAGTGCTACAACTTACCGGACTGGAATTTTCAGCTCGTTAGATATTGAAGAGACATACAAAGCGAATTCTCGTTCCTCGTAAAATCCAATCAAAAAAATCTGAGCAAGATTTGATATCTGTCCATGTCAAATAAATAAAACACTAATATGAGCAATCAAACATTACAAAGTTGAGAACTTTCCTAAGTTTTCTTTCAGCCTTAAGAAACAAACAAAAGTTCAAAACTTTGAAACTACAAAATCATACAACAACAAGAAACTTTTCCAAAGTGTAGAGCTTTTGTCTCAAATTCCAATAACAAAGTTAAGACTAGTACTAAATTGGAACAAACCTAGATTAAGACAAACAATCCAAGTCAAATCAAAACTTGTTATAAGCAATCCACATTTCAAAGTTGACAACTTTCATAGCTTTCTTGAGTAAAAAGTTCAAAACTCGAATCACACAATACAAGTACTAAATTGGAACAAACCCATGTTTAATATTTCTCAAGGATCAAAACAAGAAATTGCAAAAGAACAAACCTTTTTACAAGCAGAAATAGGATGATGAATCATAGGTTGACCAGCCAAAGGAATCAGTGGTTTCGGTGTATTGAACGATAATGGGCGAAATCGAGTTCCTAAATCAATCCACATTAGCAAAAAAACCAAAACCAAAACCAAAATTCATGTTTTGAAAATAGAATTCGAGATCCAAAAGAGAATGTTAACCTTTGGTCGGACCACCAACCATGATCACGGCGACGACTTTCTCCTCCGACATGTCAATTCAAAAAAGCCTAGATTCGTAAAACACGACGATGATCTGATTTTGTATTAAAAGGTGGTATCTTTGTAGTCGGATATTCCCAAGTTTTTTGAACTAAAGTTGAAAAACAGAGAAATGAGAATGGAGCCTTTTGACCAAAAAAAAAAAAAAAAAAGAGAATGGAGCCTAAAAAAAAAACTTGTTTTTGATTTTGATAGTCATAAAGCACACGTCTTTTTTATTCTTGCGTTTGTTAGCGTTTTATAATTGCGTTTGTGTTTAGCACATAATCGAGGTTGCGTCTGAAAGAATCGAAAAAGAGTAAAAAAAAAACAGAGGAAATTAGTGAAATGACCAAACTTTATGAATCTTGAAGCGGTTTCTTCTATAGCTTCAGATTAGTCTCGAGTCCACTTGTCTCTCTCTGAACTAGTGAACTTCATCAATGTAAATTTCAATCCTTTCTTCTTAATGGGTTCCTTTGATTTTATTCTTCAGTGAAATGTGGTTTCTGATTTATCTTCTTGTCAGTGAAACCCTAGTAATTGCCAAGTGAGGATTTTGCTGGGCAAGAAATTAGGGTTTTTGGAGGTTTTGTAACTTACTAGAGAGTGTAAAAGATGGAAGTTTTAGGTTCATCTGATTGCAATTTAGAGATTTTAGAAACTCTATCAGACGATGCGATTCAGGAGATTACTGAAAGCTACGACGGATTTTTCAGTTCTGTTGAGTCTCTCATCGCTGGTACTGGAGATTCCTTTGTTGAAGATGAGTTTGTGTCGCATGTGTATTGTCTCTGCAAGTATGGGCTTGATTCTCTTGTTCGTGATCACTTTCTTAGATCACTTGAGGTACTCTATATTAAACTTTCTTTTAGATTAAAGTTTGAGTCTTGGAGCTTCCTGATTTTGTACCACTTAGTAGCTGCTCTGTTATGAGGTAGACTGGTGTAGAGTAAAAGTGGAAGAAGTATGTTTGTTCTCTTATGGACATTTGTTTTGTTTCAGCAAGCTTTTGAGAAGGGAGGTGCATCTAGTTTTTGGCAACATTTTGATGCTTATAGTGAGAAGAAACTTACTGTAAGAAGAAGATACACATACGCTTGGTTGATGCTTTGTTTGCTATAGAAATATTCTGAAATTGACTTTTAGTTTTGACTAAAAATGGATGGTTTTGGGCAGAATTATGGAGAGGAGATTCAGGCAGTGTTATGCAAGGCTTTGGAAGAAATTTCTGTTGAAAAGCAGTATCATGAGAAGTGTCTGTCCATAGTGGTTCATGCTTTGCAGTCGTATAAAGAACAGTCATCAGTGGATAGACAAACCTCAGATACAGAAAGAGTTCATCTTTTTTCGAGATTCCAGTCAATGTTGTCTTCAACTCTGATGACTACTCTTCCTCAGTATTTTCCTGGTATACCCATCTTTGATAGCTTGCTCTTTTGTTGATTTGCGATGTCGTTTGATTTAAATGACCAATTGGGGTTGTAGTGTGTTCTTTCGTAATTATCAATGTTATTTTTCTGGTTTGATTGCTTGGAAGTTTGTTCAATCATTAGTTCATTACCCTCATATTGTTCCTCTCTTTATTATGTTCTTAGAAATACTCCACTGGTATTTTAAGGAAAGGCTGGAGGAGTTAAGTGCAATCATGGATGGAGATGGTATTGGAGAACAAGAGGATGATTGCATGGATTTGGACGAGAAGCTGAGATATAAAAACGGAGAAATGGATGTTGATGAAGGCTATTCCCAAGGAAAACGTTTGGGACATGACAAGTTGGTGAAGAACATTGGGAAGGTGGTCCGTGACCTTAGAAGCATTGGATTTACATCTATGGCCGAAAATGCTTATGCTTCTGCCATCTTTTTACTTCTTAAGGTATTTTTTATGCATCAGATCTGCCTCACTGAGAGTTATAACACTGTATCTGTAGTCAGCATACATATAACTTGTAACCTGTTTGGCTATGTTATACTGCAGGCGAAAGTCCATGATCTGGCTGGTGACGATTACAGGACTTCTGTTTTGGAATCAATCAAAGAATGGATTCAGGTAGTTTTTGCTGGTGAGATTCTCACTGCACCATCAGATTAGTTTGGTAATTTGGAGATTCCTGACATCTTAATTTCTCTTTTCAGACAGTCCCTCTACAGTTTCTTAATGCACTTCTTTCTTATCTTGGTGATTCCGTAAGTTATGGTACCACATCGTCTGACCTCAAGTCTCCTCTGGCTTGTTGCCCATCTCCAAGCTTTTCCAAAGTGGTGACTCCTTCCGAAGGAATTGTTAGGTGGAAATTACGGCTAGAATATTTTGCATATGAGACACTGCAAGATTTAAGGATAGCCAAACTTTTTGAGATAATTGTTGATTATCCTGAGAGGTATTTTCTTTTCTGATAGTACTTTTTTTTTCCTCTCCATATATTTCACTTGAGACCCAATTCAAATACTGCATTTCGTCGAAATATCTTGCATCTCTCTGATGGAAATATTTTTGATGCAACAGTTCTCCTGCCATTGAAGACTTAAAACAGTGTCTTGAATATACTGGGCAGCATTCTAAGCTAGTTGAATCTTTTATTACTTCTTTGAAATATCGTTTGCTCACTGCTGGTGCCTCAACCAATGATATATTACATCAGTATGTGTCGACTATTAAAGCCCTTCGAGCAATAGACCCAGCTGGTGTATTTCTGGAAGCAGTGGGTGAACCAATTAGAGACTATTTACGGGGACGGAAAGACACCATTAAATGTATTGTCACTATGCTTACAGATGGAAGTGGAGGGAATGCAAATGGTTCCGGAAACCCTGGGGATAGTCTTCTTGAAGAATTAATGAGGGATGAAGAAAGTCAAGAGAACGTAGGTTTTGACGATGATTTCCACACTGATGATAAGCAAGCCTGGCTCAATGCTTCCCGGTATCCTTCTGTTGTATATATTTTTGGTTATCATCTTGCACCACATTGAATTTTTCTGACACCTTTTTTAATGTGCTTTGTCCTCAGTTGGGAACCGGACCCTGTCGAGGCTGATCCTTTAAAAGGTAGCCTCAGACAGAGGAAGGTAGACATACTTGGAATGCTTGTTGATATAATTGGATCTAAAGAGCAACTAGTAAATGAATATCGTGTTATGCTTGCGGAAAAGCTTCTCAACAAGACTGATTATGACATTGACACTGAGATACGCACTGTTGAACTTCTCAAGGCAAGCTCTATTATGTCCCTCTTAAGTTTGACTTGCCAAACTATTGGATTGTTTCTATAGTGTTGAATCTAACTTTACCTTCTCTTATTATGTCAATAGATACATTTTGGAGAAGCCAGTATGCAAAGATGTGAGATAATGCTGAACGACTTAATTGATTCTAAGAGAGTGAACACTAACATTAAAAAGGCATCTCAAACAGGTTATGTTTCTGAATTGTTCTCAATTTTACTCATGCAAGGTAGGTTCTTGTCTGATTCTTTTACTTGGTATTTGTGTCCATTGCTTGTGTTTAGGCGCTGGGTTAAGAGAGAATGAGCTTTCTGTTGATACTCTTACCTCAACGATACTTTCAACCAACTTCTGGCCACCAATTCAGGTATCCATACATTCTTCCCTCTGATTTTGCATCCATTATGTCATACGTAAAATATACACATTTGAGGCTTATAGATTCTTGTGATTGCTTCCATTCACTGATTAGAAGAGGAATTTCAGGATGAACCTCTAGAGCTACCTGGACCTATCGACAAGCTGCTATCAGATTATGCCAATCGATATCATGAAATCAAGACCCCTCGTAAACTACTTTGGAAGAAAAATCTTGGCACTGTCAAGGTACATCTAGTGTAGATACTTAAGTGAATGATTCATGTTTTCACTTAAGTGAATGATTCATGTTTTCACTTAAGTGAATGATTCATGTTTTCGAGTATTACTGGTGTATGCATCTCTCTGAAATGGCTTTGATGGATTCAGTTGGAGTTGCAATTTGAAGACAGAGCTTTGCAGTTCACTGTCTCCCCCACACATGCTGCCATTATCATGCAATTTCAAGAAAAGAAAAGGTAAATTGCAAGAATCAATCAATAAGGATATTTCATATTCCAGATGTTTACTGAACTCATGTAATCTTTCAGTTGGACCTATAAAGATCTTGCTGCAGTCATTGGAATACCCATTGACGCATTAAACCGAAGAGTAAACTTCTGGATAAGCAAGGTATATACTGTAATTGTAGTCTCCTGCTTTAAACCGTTCATTTTGAGGAAAACCTTATATGCAAGTTTCCTGCACTTAGGGAGTTCTGAAAGAATCAACAGGAGCAAACTCAGATTCCAATGTGTTAACGCTCGTTGAATCCATAACTGATTCTGGAAAGAACGAAGGCGAGGAGGAGCTTCTAACAGGTGAAGAAGAGAGTGAAACATCGATTGCTTCTGTGGAAGATCAGCTTCGCAAAGAAATGACGATATACGAGGTATGTAAAATGCTTAGGAAACTTTTTCATTCTCCAGAAATATAAAACCTAAACAATAATAAACCATGTTTCAGAAATTCATCATGGGAATGCTCACAAATTTTGGTAGCATGGCACTAGAACGAATCCATAACACTCTCAAGGTAACAATCTGACATCAACCTAACTGATTTTACAACGTTGTTGTCTTGATCATTGATCATTGACTGATTTTACAACGTTGTTGTCTTGATCATTGCTCTGTTTTTTTTTTGTTGTAGATGTTTTGTGTGGCTGATCCTTCTTATGACAAGTCACTGCAACAGCTTCAGAGCTTTCTTTCTGGTTTGGTTTCTGAAGAGAAACTAGAGTTTAGAGATGGAATGTATTTGCTAAAGAAGTAGAACAACTCTTTCCATGTGTTAGACTATAACTAGTTTTGTCTATTGTTGTATCAAGAATCAAGATCCTTTTATTTTCTTAATGAAATCTCATACTGTTCTCAAGTGATAAACAATTACTACTGTTTCTTTGACTCCACAATCATTTCCTTAACGACACAATTCTGTAATTAGAGATTGACCATTAGGTTCTTGACCAAAAGTTCCACGCGCGTAAGGGCTCGGTACTAGGAGCACTCCGGTTCAAGCTTTTGTCCATGTACATGTAAAATCTTTATAAATTAATAATGTTGTGATCATGATATTTTGTTAATTTGTAGTGATATTAATTTATCTATAAATAATATTTATAAATTTATAGTATGTGTAAATGAATTTATAGAAAGTTTTGTTTTAATTTTTAAAACTATTTTAAAAAATATGAGTTAATTTGATCTAAAAAAAATTAATGTTTGGATGTTATAAATTTTGTAGTTTTAGGCTTGATCATTTAATATTTAGAAAAAAAAACCAATTTTTTGGACAATGAATAACAAATATTACAGAATTCACATATTCAACGATATATATAAATTCAAATTTATAAATAATAACATCAATTGTTGTATTTGAACAGTTTACACGACTATTGAAATAAAAATTATGCATATTCGAAATTTGAAAACTTACAAAAATTGTTTGATATTTTTTTGTAAAAAAAAACACTAAAGATATTATATATATATATATATATATATGTAAATTTATATGATTATTAATTTATGATATTATTGGGACCATATTTTTATACAGAAATTTTTTAAAAAATTATTACCTCATTCTTTTATCAAAATTTGGTTTATTTTTACACTATTTCGATTCAGAACAAACAAAATTTATTAATTTATCGTATTTATTAATTTATCGAAGATTAATTTATAGAGGTTTTACTATATTCCTAATCAATCCACATCGCAAAATTACACTAGTGAACTCGAAGACAGAAAATTTTAGAAAATAAAGAAAAGAAGATAAGAGAGATCCAAAGAGATAAGAATAACATTAAAGTTCAAAGTTCAAACCCATGTCTCGGTATTGGTATGACGACGAATTGACTTTAAAATTTTCTTCCCTTCCCTTCTTCTTTGGTCATCTTTTGTCAAATTCGTTTCCATCATTACACAAAAAGCATGGAACTTCAAGTCCTTGTTCGTCCAATCTTCTTCTTCTTCCTCTTGACAAGTTTACAACAATCTTCTTCTGCTCGGATTCTTATAATCTCTAAGCCTGATAGACACGACTACGCCGCAAGTGCTCGTTGGCTTGTCTCTCAGAATTCTTGGGGTGTTCTTAGGTATCTCAATCTCGTCTCTTTCTACTTATCTTGCTTCTCAAGTTTAGATGATAGATTTTGGGTCTCTCTCAATAATTAGGACCTTTATAGGGCTGTTTTTAGCAGATTCAATCCAATCATTGATAAAAGATTGAATCTTTTTGAATTTGAAATTGATTATGGATATATCTTACATAAAGTTGGTAGCTTTTTAGAAGATTGAATCATATCATTGATGATAGTATCGATGAACTTTGTTGGGTTCTTGAGATTTGCTTTGGGATTTGGCAAAAAAATCAAGTACTGTTGTGTTCCTGAGATTTGGTATAGGTTTACTTCGTCAAGTTTGATTCTTTTGAAATTGAAATTGATTTGAGAGTTCAGATTTGACGCAAGGAGACACATTTGGTCACTCTATACACTATAGTTACCCGAGATCTTAATTAGTGAAAGAGATTGTTGCAAGAGTCTGTGTTTATGAATTGTTGCATTGTTGTTAACTTGTTATTAGCAAGGTAGTGTGAGTGTAACAAGGTTCGATTACTAATTCATTTTTTCGGTGATTGGATTCTTCTTGCAGCACACTATCCGTTGATCATGAAGGCGCTCCCTTCGGGTAATCTTGTTTTCCATGAATCATATGTGTTTTCTTGGTCTTTGTGATTTTACATTTCAAACCTATGAAAGTTTTCTTACATTGACTCGACTTAATGTTCGAGCTCCATCCATTGATCAATTTTCGAAACCTCAGAAAATATTGATGTGCTCTTTTTAAAAATCATCGGTATAGCTTGACATTATTGAGATATTGGTTTTTATTTGCAGGAATGTTGTATCGTTTAGTGATGGTTTACCCGAGAAAGGCAGCGGTATACCATACTTTTACTTAACAACTCTTGATCCAACTGCAAGAAACGCACTAAAAGACCAGAGAGCTTCACTCGCAATCAGTGAATCTCCCGTTGGAACTTGTAAAAGAGATCCAATGAATCCTACTTGCTCTAAACTAACCCTTACCGGAAAGGTACATGACTGCAAAACCCGAGTTTTCTTATCAACATGACAAAGAAAATGTTTGTAAAATGCTTTGGTCTTTATCTTATAATGTTTCAGTTACTGATATTGGATGAAGCATCTGAAGAAGCAGAAGTAGCCAAAAAAGCTTTATTCACAAAGCATCCAGAGATGATAGGTGATTAAATGTTTCTCTCATCTCTAACATACAAATTCATGATAACTCTTATTATTGTGTGATGATTATATCGGTTTTTGTTTTGCAGATTGGCCTGAGGATCATGATTTCCGCTTTTTCAAACTCGATATCATCGATATATTTCTGATCAATTGGTATGGTGGAGCTAAACCTATCACTGTAGATGAATACCTTCATGCCAAGTTGTAAGTACAATGCGTGAACCCTTTTAAAAACATCGGTAATCTCTGAGAAACCGAACAATGAAAAATTTCGAATCTTACGCTACTTCGCATTTGATCTCTTAAATCTTTTTAATTGTTTTCAGGATCAAAGTCGCTTCCTTTTTATAACAACTCACCGGAATCAAGCAAATGGTGAAGCAAGAAGATGTATATTGGATACACAATAAAATGTGTGTAATTATTTCTGTAAATGACTCTTTGTTTTGGACATGATAGATTTTAAAATCTCCTGTAAATTACCACAAAGCAATTTCAAGGTATCAATGGATAAAACTTGCAGAGTGTACATTTATATAATTTGTTATTTAAAACTAAAAGGAACCGAATAAATATTGACTCAAACCGGAAATTATGCAATTGAACCAAACAAAATTCATCAACTCCAATCGATACCAAAATCGGTTTTCATTTTTTCAACTACATCAATAAACCAACTAAATCGAATTGAACCGAAACGTAAAAAAAAGAATTGAATCCAACATTTTAAAAAAAATGAAACTAGAAATTTATGCAATTGAACCAAGTTGGAGTCAAACTCAAAACCATATCAGAAATCTAATGCAATCGAACCAAACTAATACCATCAACTCGAACCGAAACCAAATTCTGTTTTTCATCAAAAATCAAACAAACCAAATTCATAAAAAAATTTATGATTCTAATCAAATTTTGTTATCTAAACCGAATTTAACCGAAACTTAAAAAAAAAAGAATTGACCCAACATAAAAAAAAAAACTCAATCAAAGTGTTAACCGACTCCGGCTCTTTCCGGTTTGAAGATAAGATTTATCATTCTTTGAGTCTCTCTCTCTGTGTGAGTGGCGAGCATTGGTTTCTGGAAATTGAACACAAAAAAATATCTGAAACTTTCGATCTAAAAGCTAATCCAAATCCAAATTCAAGAGGAGAAGAAAAATCTCACGTCATCGAAACTTTCTTCTATCATCAAATACAAATACCAAAAAAACTCCATGAATCTTCAAGCTGTTTCTTGTAGTTTCGGATTCGTTTCGAGTCCACTTGGTGTCACTCCCAGAACTTCCTTTCGTCGCTTCGTAATCCGAGCCAAAAGTAAAACTTTCAATCCCTAGATCTTTGAAGTGATTGTGATTGGGTTTTGGATTCATCTTGAATCTTCTTGTTCTTGTTTTTGCAGCGGAACCTTCGGAGAAATCAGTAGAGATTATGAGGAAATTCTCTGAGCAATATGCTCGTCGCTCTGGGACTTACTTCTGTGTTGATAAAGGAGTTACTTCAGTCGTTATTAAGGTATATCAATTAATGGGTTTTTGAATTCGTAGCTAAGTGTTGATAAAGATTGAGTCTTTTACTTATAGAAAATGAGTCTGAATAAGAAATTGAGTTCTTGAGATATAATGCTTAATTGTTGTGTGATCTTTTTTGTGAGTAGGGTTTGGCTGAGCATAAAGATTCGTATGGTGCACCACTTTGTCCTTGCAGGTGATATTTGCTTCTTCTGGGCAATTGTTATTTTAAGTACTTTTGAAATGATTGTACTGAAACAATGCTATGGATTCATAAAGTTTGATCCTTTGTTGTTGATGTAGACACTATGATGATAAAGCTGCTGAGGTTGGACAGGGATTTTGGAATTGTCCGTGTGTTCCAATGAGAGAGAGGTAAGAACTATCTCCATGTGGCTGCATAAACATTGTGGTTGCTATATAGTTAGAACTTACAACTAAGAATATAAAGTTCAACTTCGTTGTGGTTATTAGTTGGATAGTATTCATAGAGGTAGTTGATGCTCCTTATTGGTTGTATTAAGATTGATGCAGAGAATGTATTCACAGATTGCTAGGCAAGTGGAATTTGAATTAACCATAGTTAGAAACAACTGCCGAACAAAAAAACTTAAGCTCTCCTGTAAACTCTTGGCCTATGTGGCTCTTTTGACCAAATTCTGGCACACAGCAAAGTTAAGATCCTTAGTGTTGTAATAGGACTTAGTATAGGTAATAGAGTTTGATCAAGGTCCTTTTTGGAAACACTGGTTATATGTTATCAGCTATGGAATGACTTCAACTTTGTTGTGCTTTGGATAATATATAGTAGCATACGCATGTTTTACTTTCCGTAGAGGTTACCAATGCTCCTAATTGTATCAAGAGATTGATGCAAAGGATATATGCGTAGATTGCCAGGCAAATGGAAGTTGATTTACTCCATAGTTAGCAACAACTGCCAAACCAAAAAACTTAAGCTCTCCTGTAAACTCTTGGCCTATGTGGCTCTTTTGACCAAACTCTGGCACATAGCAAAGTTAAGATCCGTAGTGTTGTAATAGGACTTATTTTTTAGGTAATAGAGTTCGATCAATTTTGCATCTGGTGACGGTTTATTCTGATAAAAATACTTGTGTTTTACATCTTGTACTAAAGTTTTATCATTTGTTCATCAGGAAGGAGTGCCATTGTATGCTTTTCTTAACACCTGATAATGATTTCGCTGGAAAGGATCAGGTAAATCCCAAATAAAAATAAAAATACTTATCTGTTTCTAATCTGTTTCCCTAATTACAAGCTTGAGGTTCTGTTACCATTTTAAGCATACGATTAATGGTTTGAACTTTGAAGCAACTTATTAGTATTGGGATCCTATGGTATAAGGATGTCTAATAATTTCCCTTGTTGGTTTCTTTTGCAGACGATTACATCGGATGAAATAAAAGAAACCACAGCTAACATGTGAGAGAACTGGTTCTTTGATGTTCATCGCCTCTGTTTGTTAGGTCAAAAGAGAGATATGTCTCGCCCCAAATGCAGTCTTGTACATTGATACCTGAGCATCTTCTTCGTTCTTCTGTACAACTCTTTCACTCTTAAGAAAATATACTTTAGTATGATCTTTTGTTTGCAAAACGATTACAAGCTATATAAAAGGATCCAACTTTACACGAAATCTTCAATAAGTGTATGTATTTGCTAAAAAGAGCTAAATGTTTCTCTTCCACATCTCTCAAAGCCTGAGCTTCCATAACATGAGATTTCATTTGTCTTGGTCGGGAAAATATAAGCAGAACAGTCGACCACTTTACTTTCGTTTATAGATGTATAGCTATCGTGTATTGAAGCCATTTCTTATCTTATTACTGATTGAATTTCTTTAAAAATTAAAAAAGACATCTGATGCAAAACCCAAACAAAAATTTCTTTGGTCACTTTCATTCTGGACCAGTAAACATATCCGAAACCTTAACTTAAGGAGAGATTGATAATTCTAAGAAAGTGTTGACTAGTCTCATGGCCCTAATAGACACCAACAGCACGACCAATGTTCATGTCTTCATGAGATGCAAGAAGCAAACCAAACTAAAATAGGAGTTACCATCAAAGATTCTTCATGGATCTGAAAACCCGTACCACAGCTTCGCAGCTTCGCCGGAAAACAAGGCACCGCCAGCCGCACCACCAGCCAACGTGGTTGACCATCAGACCACCGGAGCAATGCCGCGTCGAGCGATGGGAAAACAACACTGAGACATAGAAGTAAGAACCATCACCGGAAAAGCACATCCAAGCGGAAGGAGCCAAAAACGAAGTCGGAGAAGAGGCGAACACATGTTCACCAACGCCGGCAAATCTCTGAAATCCACCAGCCACCATCAGAGGAGATCGATCTCCGAACAAGCCAGAGAGGATCTAACCGCCACGAACCAAACCGAGCAGCACACCCAACGTGAGCAAGACCATCAAGGAGAGTCTTCACTCAGACATAATCACCGTCCTCAAGCAATCAGGGGAATGAGGAAGACAACTGAGAAGATGGAGTCGCTGTTGTAAGGAGGAGAGCCGCAGCAAACCACCGCCGATTTGACCTCAAATATAGCCTCCAACCCGAAGAAAAACAGCTCAGATCCATTGGAAGTACTTACAGAAAATTGCCGGAGATGGAATGAGCCGAACAGCGAAGACAACGGAGCCCTCTCACGGTACCGACGAGGAGCGCCGGTGACCGGAGAGGCAAACGAGAACAGATCTAGGTTTCTGCAAGTCTCCTTTGATTTGAGAGAGAAAAGAGGGGCGCGTGACTTTCACGCAGTTGCTATTTTAAATATTGTACTTGATCAAAAAACTGTTAGGGTAAACTTTTTATAGTGACAGACCCCACCGCAAAGCGGCCCCATATCCAGAAAAAACTCCACCTCCAGCCTAGACCTACGGGTTAGTATACACCGCTTGCCCCTACTCGTATGGAGGAGTTTTTATTTGGAGAGGTTCAGTACCACCGTGGTGACAGAGAGACTCGAACTCGAGACCTCTGGCACTCATCTGTGAGAAGGAAATACCACTAGGATACCATCACTTCTCATGTCCTCAGGGATCTTGTTGGCTTTCCCAGCTTCCTCTATCAACCCGTAAAGAGTTGTTAACCAATCTTTCCTGTTTTCTTCTCGGTGTTCAAACCTGTGACAGGACAAAAACATTTCATGAATTAACATTCTTGTCTCGCGAAAAGCTTAAGATTTCTAGTTATATACCTCTCGCTGGTCTTTCCCCGAATGGTATATTTTCCCCTCAGCTTCCATTTGATCCCCATACTGAATTACCATCTCATCTTCGAATTCCTTGAAAAGCTCATAAGCTGCTTCAGCCTCTCAAGTTCACCTCTTTCACACATATCTCTGAGCTCATTAACTTTGCTTCAATCAAGTCATCTGAATGAATATACACAGTTAGAGGATGTTCATCTTTCTCTTCATTAATACTCATCCTCTCTATATTCCGAAAGTATTTAACGGAAATGTTAACTTTTTTGAGTTTCTGTTCATCCTTGATTCATATTGATTCTTTAACTTTGTTTGACATGAACATGTTATTCTTTATTTATAATCTTCTAAATGTCTCAAAACCATATTTTCATTTTTTTTTTTTTGTGGATATCAAACCAAAATAAATTTTAACTATTTTCATCGTCTTTCCCCTTACCTTGGTGAGTAGTTAATTGTATGATGTGGTCATCGACAGTTAATTGAACCAAGGTGAAAAGAATCAACGAAATCGTATATGTTATATGATGAATGAGCAGAGTAGTCTCTGGGTGCATGCTAAAACGTGTCTGGCTTTCACTTACGAAGGTTTAAGATCTTTCGAAACACTTTGGTACTCTACTAAAACAGTTTTTCGTGAGGTCCAAATTTTTTAACACTATATACTTTTGGTACTCTGCTAAAAAACACATAGTAGCCGTGAGTGGCAGACTCTTCCTCATCTTTTGAATGCCCGCCTCCCTCAACAGTCTGATTAGTCTTTTTTTAATGACGAATCCGAAGAGCGTTCACAAAATTCTAAGCTTTTTTTAAGACTGGTGTCTTCCCTTATAGAATGGCCAGCCTTTTCAGCTTATTTGGAGAAAATTTAGAGTAATTGAGGAATTCTTTACCTTTTCTTTATCCTTAGTATTTCGTAATGCAAATGTTAAAACGGATAAACTAGCGCGCAATATTCATGCCGAGCCGCATTATATCACATATATAAACAATGTACTTTATAATTGGCTCATTTGAGCAAATTAATCTAAAGTTATTGACAAAAGAAAAAGTCTCAAAAAAGTTCTAAAGGATGCTCTTACATTACATTAGTTGTGGTGTCAGCTTTACTGTGAAACTCTGAATTCAATATATAAGACAAAATTAAATAGACACTAGGAGAAATCAATTAATAAAACCCAGGACAATAAAAAAAACACGCAATAATAAAAATAATGAGAAATTAGTTTTAGTATATCGTCTTGAATTATAATTCTTTTTTTCACTAAATGAATTTTGAGCATGTTGACAAGAAAAAAAAAATTATACATTAATGTTATATATGTATTTATCGTTTTTAAATATAAATTTAAATCCGTGGATGGCACAAAATTCACCAACTTCTAGTAAAAAAACAAAGAAAGAATATATATTTTGGGGCTTCAACCACAACAGCCACCACCCTGGGAGATGGTACCATATCTTCCTCCAGCTTCACCATGAGGATGTGAATATCCAACCTTGATCCCGGGTGACTGTAAGAAATCGAGATCAAATGAACTGTAAATCACATTGGCTGGCTTAGTGTGATATATGAACAAGAAGAAAACAACAAAAAGAAAGACCTCATTGGATACATCAAAGACACCGTTCTCAATCTTTTCGAGAATATTCGCAGCAGTCTTTATGAAAGCCTGTTGGTATATAGACCATACTAATTAAGCAAAGAAAGATATAATTTGTCAAGATATTTCAAAAGATTTTTGTAAGGAAGTAACTAATAACCTCCTCAACGTTTTGAGATGTTCTTGCAGACGTTTCCAAAAACAAAAGGCCATGTTGTTTGGCAAACTCTTCTCCTTCCTCTTTACTAATAGCTCTCTTGCGAACAAGAACGCATTTGTTTCCGATAAGAATGATACTCATGTTATGAGTACTGGCATAATGCCGAACATCCTCCAACCAACTCGCCACATGGTTAAACGTCTCTCTCCTACAAGTCATTCATGTAAGATTTGAGTTTCGTTTTATTGATACTAGTCATATCATCATTCTAATTTAATAAGATTCCAAAGTGTATATATGACCCACATTTCTCCAAAAGAACAATGACAATATCGTAGCAAGTGAAGTTAAAGAGTTTATTCTTATATCAAGTAACTCCCCTACTACAAGAAAACATGCCAATTTCCAACGGAATTCTAACAAACGATTTATCGGCTTTGGACAGATTTCGTAATGTATACCAAAATTCCACAAGACAAACCAATTCAATCAAATAAGCAAGCAAGGAAAGAAAACACAAAAGTATAAGATATTAGACATATTATGTAAATGTGGAGGCTACAATGTATAAAAGAATAATGAATATCATGACAAATTTTGAACCTGCTGATGTCGTAAACCAGTAACGCTCCGGCGGCTCCTCTATAAAATGATCTGGTGATGGATCTAAATGTCTCTTGTCCAGCCTAAAAGACATCACAGCCTTGTTTAAATCATAAACAACAACAAATCCAACTTATCACGTAGAAGCTAAAAAAAACATAACAGCAACTCTTAACTAATATAATAAAACCTAAAGGTTGCTTTATAATCAATAGTATCCAAAACTTAATACAAAAAAGTATTGAATAACAAAGACAAGGATATAGCGTATCGACTATCGAATATGTTTCGATATCAAAAAGAGAAGATTAAGGCGAGAGCCGTATACTATACGTACGGTGTCCCAAATTTGAAGTTTTATAGACCGACCATCGACGGTGACCATTCGATCACCGAACCCGGCACCAATGGTTAGATCGTGGACTGGTTGGAATCTCTTGTCAGTAAATTGTAGAAGAAGGCACGTTTTTCCCACACCTGAACCACGAAATTGGTTAAACCTAGAATATAAAAAACTTGGAGAAGAAGGTGTAATCGACCTGTGTCTCCGATGATTATGTATTTGAACAGATAGTCGTATGACATGGTTGATCAATTGGAAATATAGGTCATCTAGGTTTCTATCCTTTATATAATACTTTGAAAATAATTTAGACTTATGGTTTTCTAAAATAATACTATTAATTATTTAAAGAAAATAAAATAGTGAATAATTATTTTCTTATGAAACGATAAATATGTTAAATTTAAGGTGTTTCTTTTTGTGCAAACATACTTAATTTCATTTCATATCCAACAAGTACAAAGTTTAAACAAACGTCAACCTCATAGTTGGGTACATCATAGATAACTACTAGCACTCTTACGAAAGATTGGTAGAGAAAATAGATGCAATAGTTCGACGGAAAATCCATATATCGGAGATAAGAACAAGGTAGTAACTTGCCATAAGCGAAAGAATGGTGAATCGAGAGCAATTCCACGAATACTTAGGAATATTGTTGAATCCGAATAGATAATAAACTCTCCTACCTAAATTATCTGAATCCAAATATATCTGATCCAAATCCGATCAGAAATTTGAATGCCCAGGCCTAGTTTTGGATATTATTTTTGGGTATTCTCTAGGTTTTTGGATATTTCGGTTAACCTTTTGATATCGGTTTGGTTCAGTTTCGATTAGTTTGGAATACTTTGCATAGGAGATTTTACTAACCATTTCGGTTATTTTAAGAATTTCGGTTCGGTAACGATTATGTTTTTTTCGGTTCGGTTTGGTCGGTTTTTTGGTTAGTGGTTTTTTGCCCAGGCTAACCGGTACTTATATGGTATCATTCAATCAAACCAACCAAACTAAAAACAAACGTCGAACCAAACTAAATAACCTCCGTTCTAAATAGTTCCTAAGAAGAGTAACCTTTTTAAAATTCTTTGTTTCGACTTAATAAGAAGGAAGAGCTAAGGGAAAGATTTCTCATCATCATGATCATTAGTATTCACTAAATAGCTTTCGGGTTCATAGTCGGATAGACTATATGAGAAAAGAACTACATTTCATTGTTGTTCATTTATTCTATTTTGTATATTTATCATCATGTTGAATAAGAAGAAATAAACTAACAATATAGAAGATGATGAAACAATGTAATCTTGCTCAAAGAGAATAAGAGTAAATGAAAGAAATGATCATTAGGCGGCAAGTCCAACATGTTTTCATCATATCGAGTATCGACGCTTTTCTAAGTTGTTTTTGTTTTTCCTTTGTATTTTTTGATGATGAAACATGTTTTCAACTTGAATAAGAGGAAGTTGTTTGATTTGCACTAAACTCGGAACATAAGTGCACACATGTGACCTAGACCATTTGTTGGCAGGTTGCTCGAGATTCACTTGTCTAAAGTATCCAGCCTCTCCAAAAATGCTAATTTTGTTACCAAAAAGCATGGCAATTTTTTTCCTCATCAATGAAAAAACTCTCATTTGTAGATGGAGTTTCAGTTCCCATATCTACTGTCAAGAATTTGCTCCACGACACCTGTTCATGCTCAATATTAGTTGTAATCCATATATTAAACTTATATGGATTCCAACGGTTGTTTTGTTGTAAAGCCGCAAGCTTCTCTTCTCTAACACAAAACAAAGTCACATAACCATAATACTCAACGCTTAACGGTAGAGGCAGAAGCGGTCCAAATCTCTCTCTTGTAAAATCAAAACAGATTATGTGGTCATGATCAGATATGGTCAATCCGTGGCGTGCGTTTCTTTTAATAGCACTCCAATAAGTGTTTCCCTTAAGAGAAATTCCATGGCTACCAAGCGATATACACCAGTGTGGAGTGACATCAAGAGTCGCCCATAAACCAGACTCGAAATCGTAGATTTCATACCATTCAAACTCAGGTCCATAGAAGTAATCATCTATAAACCTCAATAATTTGTGGCTACGACAAGACTTATTATCCACGTATCCAAGAGCGTAAGTGAACCTTTCACATCCGATTAGGTGGTGAGAATATCTAGGTTCGATCCACCTTGTTTGCCCCCAATACGGATTCCAAACCACAAGCCTAGTATCTTTTTTTAATATGCACAACACTAAACCCTCAAAATGAATGACTTGAGATATCTTTACTTGTTATGAATCGTTCAACCAAGTAAGTTTACCTTTAGACTCTATATATGGATCTTCACCGGCAACAACGCTAATCAAATAAAGATTGTAATCCATCAACAAGATCATCCGAGACTCTCCTTCCCTTGTTGTTGCTGCTTCTTTACCAATGTGTAGCTTCGCAAAGCTCTTACCTTTAGATAAAGTATAAAAGGTTTTGCAAGCTAATCGCACTGCTCTCATAGAGTTCAAAGGAAGTCTGGAGAAAATCTCCTCTAATAAAACGCTTGGGAGATTTGTGATCGTCATTGTTTTAAATTGCAACAATGATATTTTTCTTTTCTTGAAGTAGAAGAAGCTATATATATACATATAAAATTGAAAACTCACAAACGAAACAAGGCCAATATCAAAATAACTAATTAGTTCTATTAAATATATTTAAGATGTAATTTCATTTGGTTAAATAGAAATATGAATGAGAGATGATAATATTTAGAAAATTTAAGGGAGTTTAATGGCTTATAGATTTTGCTAGATTTGGAATCCTTGTAGGATTTAAAAATAGAATTCACTGATTTAAAAATAAAATCAGAGTGGATTTGAAATCAAATGAAAGAGATTTAAAAATAAACAAGTGTATTGTAATAATAAACCCATTGAAGATTTGGTTTTCTTGTGGATCCCATTGAAGAAATTGATTTTTTCTTCTATCTTATTGTAAATCTCCCATTATTTTTATTTTCTTGTGTTATAACTTATAAGAGAGTGATTGTTTGAAATGTTTTTATATAGAGATTGCATTCTACCTTTAAACACAGGAGATTATGTTCACTTCCTGACCAGAAATGTTTGGAAAATACTCACGCGATAAAATGTTCTTAATCATAAAAGTGTATGATTGTCATTAATAGAACATCGCTGTACTGATGTACAATCGTGGGATGAGAATATGAGATGAAAGAAGTGTGAAATGTGTTTGGGAAGGGGTTTATATTATGTTTTAAATCTGTTCAGACTAAGAGTTCTTCATTTATTTAACAAGAAAAGATTCCCAAATATAGGATCTGATTGGCAAGTGCTTTACAGTCTTTACAAAGAAAAAAAATTTCTAAAGATTTGAAATACATCCAATCAAGCTTTAGAAGCTTTGGCTTTCCTTTTTTTTCTCACAGCCAAAATATTTCCTTAATTCACTTTTTGGCTGTAGAAAGCCTTTTTTCCTAAAGCACATAATTTTCAACTTTCCAAAATTTTAAATTCTACAGCCAAAATTCTACAGCAATAAAATCTACAGCCACAGCAAATAAACCTACAGTCATATTTCTACAGCAAAAAATGTAAAGCTACAGCTGTTACCAATCAGGCCCATAATCTACTATAAATTGAGATTCATGCTTAAATCTTTAACATTGGATAAGACTTTGATTTTAGATACTATTTATATATGGTAGAACAAATTACACATGATTTTGTTAAAAATTTAAAAATCAAAGATCGAATAACTCATGATTTTGCCGAATCTATAAATCAACTAAAAATTATGATGACTTTCATATAAAACAATATTAGAAATGTTAATAATATTTGTGAGATATCTAATGGGTATCAGCAATGGAGATGCTCCAAGACTTGAAGTCTTTTAAGAGATTTTTCTTGAACAATCCTCGGTTTCGTACAAGGTTTGGGAAACTAAATTATAATAACTTTAGTTTCGATTAAGCCAAGAGTTTGGTAGAGGTCTTAGACTTGGGAGTGTGACTATCATCGAGGTATCTCCAGGCTCGAGCCATATCAAGCAGATTCTCGTCAACTGACATCATATTTTCTTAAAGCCAGAGGAAAGCTGTTTCATCATCATGATCATTATAATTCACAACAAAACTTTGGGGCTTATAGTCAAATAAAGTATATTAGATTGGGCTTGGGGTGAAAGTATGTTATAATCTATAAACCTCAATAATTTGTGGCTACGACAAGATTTCTTATTCACGTATCCGAGAGCTTATTTGAACTCTTCATATCCGAGTAGGCGGTGAAATTAAAATATCTGGAATCGATCCACCTTGTTTGCCCCCAATACGGATTCCAAACTACAAACCTAGTATCATCTTTCAAGATGCATAACACTAAACACTCGCAGTGAAAGACTTGATTTATCTTGACTTTTTTTGAATCGTTTAGGCAAGTACGTTTACCTTAGTCTCTATAGATGGATCTTCATTGATGACTACGCTCATTAAATATAAATTGTAATCCATCAATACGATCATCTGAGAACCCCCATCCCTTGATGATGCTTCTTTATTTTTTTGAATAAAATGTAAAATTTATTCGAAAAAAACTGTTTTACATCTAGTGATGCTTCTTTACTAATGTGCAACTTCGTAAAGCTCTGACTTTTCGATAAAGTGTAAAACGTTTTGCTAGTTAATCGCACTGCTCTCATAGCCTTCAATGGAACTCTAGAAACAATCTCCTCTACCAGATCCCTTGGAAGATTTGTCACCGTCGTCGACATTGTTTCAAATTGCAACAAGGGTTTTTTCTTGTTTCTTAAAGTTGAGGTTACTACAAATTAAAAAAAACTCATAAACCCTAGACGAAACCGGGCCAATCGTGGGCTTTAGAATCTATTTTTGGTTTTTTAATGATTCACAATTACAAACACACACACAAAATGTAATCAAAATATCATCTATTTACTCATGAGACTGGGCCTTAGCTTGTTAATTGATTGAGCCACTAGAAAATAAAATCCAGCATATGTAAAAGTTTGGTTGGTTTGATTGAATGATACCATATAAAACGACGTCGTTTTGTTTTGAAAAAAAGACGTAAAATCCCTAAAACCATGAATCGAACCCCTGATCTTAAATCCCTAACTGCACACTCAATACCTTTTGAGCCACTGCAACTTCTGGTATAATCCCAAACCCTTGTGTTATTATCTCTATAACAGTCTCTGTTTCTTTATTCCTCTTACAAGGAGTAATCGTATG